ATCACCATTAAAATTGTATTAAGAGCAGACTCCTAATTACTCGTCACAGAATTAAATCATCCTTGTATCTTTGTTCAATAAAGTGTTCTCTTTTCTACCTTACCTGACCCAGGCATTGAAGAATGGGAACAAAAAAGCATTATGGAAATTTAGAACTAAGGGCAACCTTTTTTTTCCTTCTTGGTGCTCAGATTTTGTGAAGAAATAAGTTAGATGTTTATCAACAGGAAATTTGCCAATAAGTGATGTAAGATTAGGTGGAACCATATGAAATTGATAGTGCATCTGATTCTTCCTAATGCTGTGCAGATGTTAAAAATAGATAGTGTCTCTGTAATTACTGGTGGAGAATAATACCCCAGGTAAATGATAAATTACAGAACAACGTTATAGGATACTAGTGCATGTGGGGGTGTCCAGGGTATGTGGGGATATATATGCTTGTTTATGTCCCACCATAAATCTGAAAATTATAAAATAAACAAACAGTTAACAGTGAATGCCTCTAGAGGGCGGGGTAGGAAACTAGAGGCAAGAGCAGGAGATGTATTTCACTTTTGTACAATCCCAATTTTTACCACATGAGTGTATTAAAATTTTAAAAGGAAAAAAAAAAAGACCAAACCTGCAAGGAAACTATTGCTTAAAGAGGTGAAGGTTCTGTTCAAGCCACGTGGTGACCTCAGACTAGAACCTATTGAAGAAAGTGGCTGCTCAGTTGTTTATCTTATCCCTATAATTCAAAGAACAACAGGGAACAGTTGTTCTCTGGGGCCTAACAAGTTCAGAGACTCATTGTCTACCTTGACTTTGTAGTTTACCTAGGATCTGAATCACTCTAGTTAAATGGAGAGCTTCCCCTCAAAAACCCAGTGTCACTGGGGGGTCGATCAGATGTGACTCATTCTCAGAGTCACAGTTGTGAATTAATAGATTAGATGCTGCTGGCTAAGACTGGCAGAAAGAAGCCCTTTCTCTCCTCTTATCATTTTCTTGGGTCCTATCAGCAAGAGTCCTCTGAGCCATTTTCAGCATCCTTTACTCACTACGATCCTTTTCCTTTATGCTAGAGTTGGAAACAACAGAATTTCATTCTGATTATGTTCTGTTCAAGATTGTTGTTTAGGCGCTAAGTCATGTCCAACTCAGGTGACTCCATGGACTGTAGCCCACCAGGCTCCTCTGTCCACGGGACTTCCCAGGCAAAAATACTAGAGTGGGTTGCCATTTCCTTCTCTAGGGGATCTTCCTGACCCAGAGATCAAATCCAAGTCTCCTGCTTTGGCAGGCTGATTTTTTTTTACCATCGGAGCTATCAGGGAAGCCCCTCTGTTCAAGATAGAGGAAAGGTGATTAGGAATTTGTTTTGTACGGTTCAGATGACCTCCGTTCCCCTCCCCACCCCCCCTGCATCCCATTTTCCCCAGCCCACATCCAAATTATTCTAATCAATCAGTGTTCTCAAACTGTGCTGAGAAGAGGAACAATTTCATATTTGTAGTGGAAGAAACTGCAGTCTTATAGAGGTTCAGTGACTTGTCCTCATTCCCAGAGTTAGAAAGCAGCAGACACAAACTACAAGACAGCTGCCTGACGTCCAGCCAAGTGTCCCCAGTCTTGAAATAAAACTGCTTATTTCTCCCTTTCCCTCCAGCAACTGCTCTGTTTTCGCCTTTCCTCTCAGTCGGAATTCCCACAATTGCAGTGAAGTGCCTGCACTGTCTTCAGGCTGCCTGCTTTCTCCAGAAGCCCTGTATGTCGGGTTCCCTGCCCCCCAAGACGAGAAGGGCTGGTTGAAAGAGCTCTAGGTGAAATGCCAACATAGGTGAGATGCCATCTGGGGTTGGTCTTTCCTGAAAGGTTGTTAGCAAGACTGTGGCAGGAACAGGGTCATGCTGACTTTCTTTACCACTGTATCTACAAGTCCAGAGCCTGATACCCATCAGGAACTAAAAGAAAATACTAGCTGATGAACAGGGCTGCCTTTCCTTTCCGAAAGTCTTCCTTTCCAAAGGCTTTTGCATTTATTTCCTGATTGGGTGACCCTGCTTGGTATGCCTCCCCTCCTCTGGACTAACATTGTCACTGATCAATCCATCTGTTCATTTTACCGAAGCACTATAGGAGACAGAGGAAGCGCTGACAGTGGGGTGCTTATGTTTTATTTGTGGGAAAAGAATATAAGTCAATAATGGAATCACAAATAATATAACGATGTGATAGTTATGAGGCAGATTGGAGCCAGACTGCATGGGTATTTAACCTCTGTGCATTTTAATTTCCTCCTCTATAAACTGGAGACGGTGGTAGTTCCTACCTCATAAGGTCGTTGTGAAGGTTAAGTCATATATGAGTGATATAGCTGAAGCACTTCAAAGAGGGTCTGGTGTATTGCAAGTGCTCAAAAAATGTTTTAAAAAGCAGAAGGTAATATATTAATCATTATTATAAGTGCTGTAAGAAAGTATCTTTTTAAGAACTCTTTTCCCAGTGAGAATTAATCAGTTCTCAAGTTCTCTTTTTCAAATATCCTTTCCAATTTTTTCTTTGTCATTTTGACTCATCACTTCATTGTACCAGGGTTACTAAGCTTGTCCAGGATGTTTAAGATCTGAGAACAGGAGAACTGAGGAACCTCAGTTAACCGCCAGCACCAATAAACCCTCAGCCACCTGTTCTTGTCCATCTGTCCGTCTGACCCAGCCTATCCCACAGCTGACTGTGGCCATGTGGGAAAACCTGGGGAGACACTCAGAAGAATCCACCATATCAGTCCGCAGAATGGTGAGGAGCAATAAATAATACAATTTGCTATTTTACGCCACTAAGTGGTAAGGTAGTCTGCTTTACAGCAAAGCACAATTGAAATACCACCTTTAATTTTGTCCCAGAGGTGGACATGCTAACATTTTGAATATTACAAATCTAGATATTAAGTAATTGTGTTAATTCACTCATTCGTGTCTGACTCTGCAACCCAAGGACTGTAGTTCAGCAGGCTTCTCTGTGGGATTTTCCAGGCAAGAATACTGAAGTGGGTTGCCACTCCCTTCGCCAGGGAATCTTCCCAACTTGGGGATCGAACCTGGGTCTCCCACATTGCAAGCAGATTCCCTATCATTAAGTAGTTATACACAGCTGTTTGCATTTAAAAAAAAATTCAGTGTAGGATATTCTGCATAATACGTTCAAAAATAACTTTTCTCTCCTACCTACCATACAGTGTTTTGAATTTTTGTATGAGTCATTTCTGTCTACACTATTATTTTTGGTTGTTTCATTTTACATCATGATTTATTAACAAAGCTCTTGGTAAAGAGTCAGATTCTGATTTTTTTGCTACTGTAAGAAATGCTTTAATGGACATCTTTGAACATATATATTTTTTACACATCAAAGATGATTTCCTCAGGATTATTTCCTGGGCATGGAATTACTTGGTTGAAGGTTTCAACCTGTTTTCAAGGTTTTGATTAAGTATCATCTAATTGCTTTTCAGAAAAGTTGTTTACATTCTTACCGTGAAGGAGTCAGAACCCTCTCTTCACTGCACTTTTACCATGTGTTTTTTTTCCTAAGTCTTTGTTGATCTAATGAATGAAAAACTATGATCTCATTACTGTTTTAATTTTGTTGTTACCAATTGGGGCTGAGTGTATTTTTATGTATAGAAAGCACTCCTGTCTACTCTAAAATTATTCTCACTCTGCTCATTTTTCCACTGTTAGTCTTTTCCTTAAAGATTTGTGAGTGATTAGATATTAACATTTGTCTGTTATGCATACATTTAAATATGTTTCTATAGTTTCTTTCCAAGAGATTTCCCTCAGATTTTATGGGTTTAGGTGGATTTTTTTTAACCCACAAACAAATCTGTTTATTTTTATTTATTTATCTCTGAGATTGATGTTATCAGTTATATTGTTTTAAAAGATAGCAAAGTTTAAATACTTCCAGGGTGTCAGATGTTATCCAAGTAAAATCCAGACCCCTCAGTTTATGTCACACACCACATGCTATTCTCCATTAAGCCAAATCAATCTCCCACAACTTCTTAATGCAAATGCCCTGATCCTGTGACTTTAGTTTCTGGTATGTGGAGCTCAGGGCTCTGGAGTCTTGACAGATCCCAGTTATTAATAGGATTCTGACTCAACCTCTTACCAACAGTACAAGAAGAGCTTTTAGACCCTCAGCTTCTTCCTATTTAAGGGGAGAGAGGATTAATTTGAGATTAGGTCCTGAAATATAGTTGGCACTTAGTAAGTATTAGTTCTTAAGTCATGCCCTTGTGTTTCTATTCATTCTGGGACACGGCTCTAGGATATCCTTTTCCTCCCCTCTGTCTCGCGATATTTTACGTATTCTTCAGGTCCGCTTCCACCCAGACTCCTTCACAGAGGCTTTCAGGAAACAGGGAGCTTCATCATATACCTTACTCAGCCTCAGTTCAGTTCAGTCCCTCAGTCGGGTCCAACTCTTTGTGACCCCATGAACCGCAGCACGCCAGGCCTCCCTGTCCATCACCAACTCCCGGAGTCCACCGAAACCCATGTCCATTGAGTCAGTGATGCCATCCAAGCATCTCATCCTCTGTTGTCCCCTTCTCCTCCTGTCCTCAATCTTTTCCAGTATCAGAGTCTCTTCCAATGAGTCAGCTCTTCACATCAGGTGGCCAAAGTATTGGAGTTTCAGCTTCAACAACAGTCCTTCCAATGAACACCCAGGACTGATCTCCTTTAGGACAGACTGATTGGATCTCCTTGCAGTCCAAGGGACTCTCAAGAGTCTTCTCCAACATCACAGTTCAAAAGCATCAGTTCTTCGGCGCTTAACTTTCTTTATAGTCCAACTCACATCCATACATAACTGCTGGAAAAACCACAGCCTTGACTAGATGGACCTGTATTTCTCCAATTCTAAGAAGCATTTTGGTCTCACATTTTAGCATCTCTGAAACTGGGCTGTGTGGTGATGGTGGTGTGGTGGTGGTGTAGTCGCTAGGTCATGTCTGACTCTTGTGATCCTATGAACTGTAGCTGCCAGGCTCCTCTGTCCATGAGATTTCCCAGGCAAGAATACTGGAGTGGGTTGCCATTTCCTTCTCCAGGGGATCTTCCAACCCAGGGTTCAAACCCAGGCCTCTTGCATTGCAGGTGGATTTTTTTTACCAACTGCATCACCAGCGACCTCATTTTACTAATGTTAAGAAATAGCCATTGACCAGAGGGCAGTCCTGATATAGTTGGCATTGCCTTTGCACTTGTGAACATAGTTATAACTATTTGAATTGTCATCATTTCACTGAATTCTATGAAATTTAACACTACATATGTCAAAACCATATGCTAAGTACTGCAGTTGAAGGCAGGAGAAATTGCCAGATGTGTCAGATTAGATGAAAGAAATTTCAAAGCAATAAGAGGGTAATATAACCAACTCATGGATCACACAGGATTGCAGCGAGGGCCTGGAACTTCAATTTGTCAGAAACTTCTTTCTGGCTGTTAATAGAGAGGATACGTAGGCTGTACTGTGCTGTGCTGTACTTAGCACTTGGTCGTGTCCGACTCTGCAACCCCATGGACTGTAGCCCGCCAGGCTCCTCTGTCCATGGGGATTCTCCAGGCGAGAATACTGGAATGGTTTGCCATGCCCTCCTCCAGGGGATCTTTCCAACTCAGGGATCGAACCCAGGTCTCCCGCATTGCAGGCAGATTCTTTACCATCTGAGCCACCAGGGAAGCCCATGAATACTGGAGTGGGATCTTCCCAACCCAGGAATTGAACCAGGAATTGAACCACCTGCATTTCAGGTGGATTCTGTACCAGCTAAGCTACCAGGGAAGGCCTACATAGGTTGTAGTGACATATAATTCAGTTGAACAAGAAAACTATGCTTTTAATCTAATAGGAATGTGCCAGCATCAAACCTGAAGAACGAATGTCTGGCTAGGAAGCAAGTCCCAGAGACACAGTTAGGCCATCCTTTTAGGAAACACTACATGTATATCAATGATACTGTGTGGACAAGCACATGTTGATGCCCTGTGTGAAGAGGGATTTAGGAAAATTAGACTTATGTACAGAATTAGTAGAAATATTTAATCAATTTATTTTGCTTATATTTTCCTTTTCTAAATATGTACATTACTGAAAAAGCTATATCTAAATTTAAAACCATCATAAGTATTAAAAAGATCCTGTGTAACAACAGTGTCGTACTTTAATTCACAGCTCTTTTTTTTTTTGATAGCACATGCTATCAAAAGTATCCTGCTGCTGCTGCTGCTGCTAAGTCACTTCAGTAGTGTCTGACTCTGTGCAACCCCATAGATGGCAGCCCACCAGGCTCCACCGTCCCTGGGATTCTCCAGGCAAGTACACTAGATTTGAATAATTATGATAAATTGAATGGACTGTAAAATGGGCCGTAGATCTGTGGATTTCAAAGCTTAGTGAAGGAACAAGAGCTTCATGTTTTGTCCTTATTGTTGTTTTGGTGGGTATTATGTTGTTGCTTAGGAATTAGGTAGGAATATCCTGCAATTTCTTGATAATCATCAGTTATGTTTGTTTGCAGAACCAACATAATTTGAAGAGAAGCTATTTTCTCACATCACCATTTAAAACTTCTTAATGTAAGTCACAGATTGCATCCTGAATTAGGTAACACTTCATGTCATTAACTAAGCACTTTAAAAATTAACTTTATTATATTTTCCCAATATACAAGTAATACATGTTAGTATGAGAAATACCCTATATTAAAAAGTGGGTAGGTATGAGTATATAATCAGCCATATCTTCTAACCAAAATATTTGGTAAATTTCTTTTTTTAGAAAAATTTCTTATAAATATTTTGATGCCATTTCTTCTACTTATGAAAACATCTCAAATCAAAGTAACATATATTTAATGTACAGTATTTGGAAAGTATAGCAAAGTATAAATAAGCATGAAAAACATTCATCTCATCACCACCCAGAAATTGCCTCTTACTATTTTTGGTAATCAAATTCAACCTATCCAGGGCAAACAGGAGGACTTTGTGGATGTGCAGTATACCCTTGTTGAATTTGTGAATGCCAAAAAAGAGAGTTTGGAGAACAGCCCATAAGTCTTGGTAATAGAATTAATTACACAGATCTTATGGTCTAAAAATCATCTGTCTTCTCAAGTTTGCCTTATTCTTCTCACATTGCTGGAGCTTGTCCAGGACACAGCCAACTTTCTACTACTTGGCAACGGAGCACTCTGCGGTGGTTGGTCACTGTCTTCATTCAGGTCACCCTCTGATTCATTCGTACATGCATTCATTCGACAAACATTCATTAAGTGCCTCTCTATGTGCCTGGAATAGAGGGGGCAATAAAGAAACATGGCCCCTGCCCTCTTGCAGCTTTCAGTTAAAAGACGACAAAGCAGATAATAAACATAAAACTAAATATATGATTAAATGCATTTGCGATGAGTGTCGATAGATGAGAAAAGGTGGCCGGGAAAGTAAATAAGCGTAGCCATAATCAGATCCAGAGGGAGGGCCTCTCTGACGGACAGGTCAGAAGGTCAAGGAGAAACAAAAGGGAAGGTTTGAGGCTGTCAGACTTGGTGGGTGTGGCCTAAAATTAGCGGAGGAACGAGTGTAGCGGGTGGGGGAAGACTAGGTTTAAATTATGGTTACTTTTAATAGGTAACATTCGCAATTCAAAGCATACAAGATCCAAAGGTGATTGAATGAAAACACTCCGTCCCTCCGGTTTCCTAGCCACCGAGCTGTGCTCCCCCGAACTGGCTCTAAGTATCTCTCCAGAAATACTCCAGGCACAAGCAAGCCTATCAGTCCATAAGATATTTTAAGCAGGGGAGTAGGGCATCGGATTTAAGACCACCCGAATACTGAGAGGCGCCTGGCTTTCTGCGTTCAGAGCTACGCGTTCCGGCTCACGCCCTTCACCCACCTTACGGTGCTCGGCATTCTGAGCTTCTACCAGGGAGATCCCCCGGGGGCCCAGGCCTTCGCAAATTACTTTCTGGCAGGGCTCCTACGTTTGTTCCCACGCTGTGCTCCGAGCAACAGCCTTGCGCGCCCGCAGCTCCCACGCCGCCCCTTCCCCGCATCTCGTGGCCCGGAACCCGGGGCTCGGCGCACGGCCCAGGTGCGCTTGAGCGTTTTGTAACGAGAGACTAGGGCGGGAAGGCAGCGGCTCCCAGAAGGCAGCGACTGAGGCGGGCCGGGGCGTGGCCAATGCCGTGGGCGGGATCAAGCTTGGGGGCGGAGCCGACGCTGGGTCGGCAGCTGAGCTCTCCCGAGCTCCCGCTGCGAAGATTCGGTCCGGGACCCGGGCCACCCACTGGGCGGGGGTGCTGGTCGGCCCCGGGCTCTACAAAGCCCTGAAGGTAAATCCGCCTGGGAGACGGGCTGCTGGAGCTCTAGGGGACCTACGACGGGGGCTGGCCGCTGGATGGCGGCGGAGGGGAGCGTCCCGCGACGAGTTTCCCGAGAAAGCTGAACTCGTCCCAAGTTTCCTGTGCATCAGTTTGCACCGGCGATTTGGTGGCGGTCTGTTTCTGTGCGGGTGGTCTTGGGCTGCGAGAGAGGCGCGGAGGTGATTGGATTAATTCGCCTGGGCACGACCCAGGTTTCTGTACTGGACCCCTCGCCGCGGTGGGCGCAGTTTTTGCCCCAGAAAGGGTGGGTAATTGAACGCAGTTGTGTCCCGCGGCAGCCGGGTGATCCCTGGGCTCAGAGCGCGCGCGTCTGCAAGGCGTGCCTGGTAGTCCGGAGGCCAAGCTCCATGACTTCTTTCCTCTTTAGGCAAGACTAACTGGGTGCTGTCCGCCCCCCCGCCCCCCCCCCCCGGGGGCTGACCCCCGAGGCGCCACTATGAACACAGAGAGCGAAGTGGATTTTTCCAGCAACAGCTTAACCCCTTTGTGGCGGAGGCGTTCAACCCCTCAGCCCCAGCTCCTGGGCCGGAGCAAGCCGAGGCCCCAGTCCTACCAGAGCCCCAGCGGGTTGCTGATCACGGATTTCCCGGTGGAGGACCGAGAGACGCTCCCTGCGGCGCAGAGTCTGGCCGAAGTGCCCGGCGCCTCCGACGGCAGGACCGTCCAGAGGAGCCCCCTGCTTCTCTGCGCCCATCGGAGGGCGGTGACCAATGGGAGGACCGTCTCCCCGGAGTACAGGGCTGTCTCTCCTCGGCTCCGACGGCCCAAGTCACCCCAAGTGCCCAGAGTGGCGTCGGGCAGCTCCCCCAAGTCCCCAGCGAACGGCACAGTGACCAAGTCCGCGCCTCAGCCGCTGCACCCCCGACGGACTCCTCGAGCGTCCTCCCCCTGCAGCCCCGAGGGGGACAAGCCCGGATTCCCCACCAGCCCCCTGCCTTCGCCGGCTGCAAATGGGCTCTCCCCAGATATCTGCTCCCGAGGCGCCGGTTCGCTGTCCGGCAACATGGCTAAGGACCCTGAGCGAGGACCCTCGAGGCTCTCTCCTTCGCCCCCCAAAAGGTCTCTGGAACAAAAACTGCCCCTCCAAAGGCTGCCTTCACCGGAGAACGAACTCCTGGAGAATCCTTCGGTGGTTTTGAGCACAAACAGCCCCGCCGCCCTCAAAGTGGGAAAACAGCAGATCATTCCGAAGAGCTTGGCCTCGGAAATTAAAATTAGTAAATCCAACAGTCTGAACGTGGAACCTCACAAGAGACTGCTAAAGGTACGCAGCATGGTGGAGGGCCTTGGGCCCCCCCTGGGCCCAGCAGAGGACGAGGGCGAGGCGGAGCACGACTTGGACAGCCCGGGGTCTCTGCGGAGAGGCTTGCGGTCCACCTCCTATCGCAGGGCGGTGGTCAGTGGCGTTGATTTTGACAGTCCTGGCACCTCGAAGAAGAAGAACAGGATGTCTCAGCCGGTTCTGAAAGCAGTGATGGAAGACAAGGAGAAGTTTTCCAGCCTGGGAAGGATAAAGGTAAAAGTGGGCAAGAGGGTCGCAGGTTAGGCAGTCACCAAGCCGCCAGTGAAGATGTTTGGGGTGGGGAGGAGGGGCACAGAGGGAGCCACAGGTTACTGTTGTTTTTAAATTTTATTGTTTGTTGATCAGAGCCCTGCACCTCTGTCTCTTGGCCATTTTATTGCTGGTAGGCAGAGCCCAGGTTAATGCGGTTTTATGGGAGGAACTGAAACTCTTATCACTGTATTAATTTTCTAAGTTCGGCAAAATGTGGGGGACAAGTAGGAGGGAAAAAACCACAGCAAATTACGTATTGGTGGAGTGAGTCTTGAACACTCTTAATACAGGTAGCTGCAAAGAGGGTGGCAGGCAGTCGTGGATCTGCCAGTGTGGTGCTTGTTTAGAAGTGTCAGTTACTGGTTCCTGATTCACCAGGAACCACCAGCTGATACAGGAAAACACCGATTTCCTTTCAGCCTGTTGATTATTTTAAGTACTTACATTAGTGATTTAATTACTGGAATATTTTTCCTTTCCGTGATGATCACGGATACTAAATACCATCCAGGTAAAATGTGAATCTTAAAAGTCAATTGCCAGAATCACAAAGGACGTAGTTTGTCATCTTCATTGTTTCTGGCTTCTTTCATCAGGAACTTTGGTTGTATCTCATTCCCAGTTTGTGCCCACTTAACCCTTGAGTGCGTTTAACAAGTTGGTAGCTTGGAACTTCAGGTTGGAGTGAATGGTGTGGCGTTGCTCCCAGATAAAGACCTAGGAGTTGCACTCCTTAAAATACCGAATATGACATAAAGAAATAGGGAAGATGAGGGAAGGAGATTTTGGAGTGTGCATGTGCTGCCTTCTCCAGACACAAGACAGATCTCAGCAATAGGGCAGAAATTCATTTTGGCAGCCACATCTTTTCCTGATTAATCTGAAAGCTGAAACCAGTCTATATAAATGTCACATATGTAATACACAAGCGAGCCTGTTTTATTTTAGATCCTATGGCCTTAAACAAATTACATAACATTTTATGTGTATTTTTTTTCCCCCTCCAAATTTGCAAGTTTAGCAAAGTTCAATTTAACAGTGGTGGTGAATCATGAGTGGGCTTCCCTGGTGGCTCAGATGATAAAGAATCTGCCTGCAATGCGGGAGATCTGGGTTCAATCCCTGGGTTGGGAAGATCCCCTGGAGAAGGGAGTGTCTTCTCAACTCCAGTATTCTTGCCTGGAAAGTTCCGTGGACAGAGGAGCCTGGAGGGCTACAGCTCTTGGGGTCACAAAGAATAGGACATGACTGGGCGACTAAGCAAACTAATTTCTAAGTAAAGAAATTACATAACGTTTTATGTGCTTCCCCTCCCCCCCCAACTCTGCAAGTATAGCATAGTTCAGCTTAACAGTGATGGTGAATCATCAGTAATAAGCTGAAAACTATTGGTCATTTGAGGATTCTCAAGCTGTATTGGCAGAGTGTGGGGGATATTGTACATTTTATTTCATCTTTTTAGTGAGTGATAGTAGTCATATGACTGCTCAAGGGATCATGTGTGCATGCTGTTGGAAATCTAATGAATGTGACCACAAAAAAAGTACTTTTTCTTGAAATAGCTGTATTTTCTGTTTGGCTCATTCATACATAGTTTGCTTTGCTTTTCCTCTTTTTGCTTTTCTTGTTTCTTAGAAAAAAATGCTGAAAGGACAAGGAACATTTGATGGGGAAGGTAAGCATTTGATTTTCCAGACTTTTATTGCTGTTTCAATGTGGAATATCAATTATAAGTTGAAATCCAACTGAAGTAACAAAAACACAAGATGAGAAAAATGTACAACTTCTCAAATTATACAGCACAAAGCTCTGCACTAAGCTAAATTTTCATCCAGTAATACCAGCAGTGAATAAAATTAATGGCATTCTTTGTAAGCCGATGACTTTGTCAGACCAGTGTTCTGGGATTTTTAATTCTCCTCTACTCTGGCTCCATCCCCACCTCCCTCAAAAAATGAAGAAAGAATAAGGATAAGCTCCAGCTCTTCAATTTAAAATTCTGAAGGTTTGGCATGTAGATCTTACGTCCTTATTTCCTTAGGTCATATTTCCTCTGACTTAATGGTCTTATCCCCATATTTCTACATTTTACTATCATTAATATGGTTTCCTAACCAAGTTTCAATTCGGAGGAAATCTAACTCTCTTCACTAACAGAACCCTACTGCTAAGAATTTCGACCCTGTATAGTGTTTTTGTGAAGGATCTCAGAAACAAAAGCAGCTTTCACCAGGTGTTCAGACCCTAATCAGATTAGCGGACTTTGTGTAAATGGATCCAGTGTCAATGGACCTGAAGAGCTTGTAGAGCTGGGGGAGTGTGGTGGAGGTGAGGGTAGTTACTTCCTGTCATTCTTTGAAGTGCTAAGGTTTTCCAGCCTTTAAAAGAACAGTGAAGAAGGGTATGCCCCTCTGTAAGTAAATCAAAAGTAAAACCACCCAGAGTTGTATCAGCTTGGCTGATTACAAAACATTTCCCCATATAATTCTTATAAAAATCAGTTCCCATTTTATCATTTAAATATGACCAGTTTATAAAAATGTGTTTATTGTATCCCTTTTAGAAAAATGTTTTCTATGGGGAAGAACCCCAGATATAGTATTTTTGCTGGTTGGGATAAAGGCATCTTCCAGATTTTATAACCGAGGAATCTGGAATCTCAAAGAGGCTTAGGACCTTATCCACACAGCCAGGATCAGGACAGACAACTGCTTCTCATGCACTTTGCTTTCTCTTGTACCCTGTTATAACCGTGAAGTGAACGGGCATCTATCTAATAGCAATCATGAGAGATGTTTTGCATCTTCTGGAATTTGGCATTAGTTTTGGGACTTTTGCTTCGAATAGTTAAAAATGTTGAGCTTTTTTGAAGTCTGAGGACAGACCTCCATTATAACTAGTGTTATGCTGTTTCCTTTTATGAGGAGCTGTTTCTGTGCCCCCTCTCCGCTCTTCTCAAATATGATGACCTAGACATTCTGTTTCACATATATGTACGTGAGGAATGCAGGAGTCTTACAGTTGGTGACTAACAGGAATGTGAGTCAGGAAGCTGTGTGGCTGAGTGGTGAGATCCTGTGATATTGGAACCAGAGACCTGAGTTCCTGCCCTGCTGCTGAGGCTACTTATCAGTTGAGTGACGTTAAACACACCTCTCAACTTCACTGAGCCTGTTTTATTCTGTGTAAAATGAAGCTCATAATTGCCTGCATTGTTGTGAGATGAATGAGACATCATATCAACAATGTCCGAACATATTTTATATCATATAATTAAGTACTTTAAAGGGTTCTACAGAGATCTGTACCCTCATAATCTGCTTTCATATGCAGCCCAATCAGAGAACAGTAAAGTCTTGCATGAACTCTCAGTATTTAGTGATGATGATGCACACAGAACATGCCATAGTTGATGAGAAATTAGGCGGATGTTTTGCTGGCTTCACTAGATAGGGAAAGCGTTTCAAACTCAGTATGTTCCAAAACCAAACTCATAATCTTTCCACTAAAGCCGAATTTCTTCTGGAGTTCCCTTCTTCCGCCTTTCAGCTGTGGGACTTAACAGAGCTAAAAGACATCCTGACCACCACAGCCAGTCTGACCCCTGTTCCCAGTCCAACCCCATCAAGTCTCCATTGCTTTTCACTGACCACTTCAAGAGCATCCTAATTAGTCCCTTATCTAGTCAATGTTTTGCTCTTCCAATCTATAAATGTCTTTCAGTGGATTTCCACTGCAGTCGGGATAAAATAAAACCTTTACAGTATGAAAGAAACTGGGGCTTTGGGGCTCAGGATAAAATCCAGTTCTTAAACATTGCCTGCAAAATTCTGCCTGGTTTGAACTGTCCGGCTCTTCTCCCCAAACCCACCTTACACCCTTTGTCTGATAGACACCTATACTCCAGCTTGTGACCTTTCTTGTTCTTCTCAGGTCATTTATTTCCTCTTGCTTTTGCAGGTGGTATTTTTCTGTAGCTCTGTGCTTTCTCAGCTTTCAGATCTTAAGATTTTCCTCATTAACACCTTTCTGACCCCTAGACTAAATCATGTCCTGCTGACAGTCTGTCCTCAGAGCACTTGTGTATAAATCTTTTGGTTTGTAGATATGTATTTGTGCCAGATCATTGTGTCCTCAACCTTAAAATGACTTGCTGTCTTACTTGGAGTAAGAAACAAAAGTCCTTTCAATGGCATCGAGGCAAGACCCTACATGGTCAGCCCTCTATTCATCCCAACCCCCATCTCCTATGCTTCCTCCCCTCCCTTAACTTATTCCAGCCACACAGGCCTCCTTGCCCTGTCGGTGTACATATTGTAAGACACATCAAGCAGACTCCTGCCCCAGGGCCTTTGTACTTGCTGCTGTCTCTGTTTGCTGATGTCTCTGTTGTTGCCAGCAGTACAGATGGTTTCCTTTCTTAGCCTCTTTTAGATATTTGCTTCAATGTCAGCTCTATGAGGCCTTCCTAAACCACCCTGTTTAAAATCTGCATATCACCCTTCATAACACCCATTCTCTGTTTGATTTTTCACCATGTTACTTTTCAGCATCTGCCATATTATAAAAGTTGCTTGTTTATTTATTGTCATTCTTTCATCACTCTGATGTCAGCTTCTTGAAGAATGAGATTTTTCTCTTTTTTTGTTGTTCTTTGTTGTATTCCCAGCACCTAGCATTTACTGGCGTCTAGTAGACATTTTCTAAGTATCAGTTGAATGAATTCATGAATGACTGACTTTTGCTATATTTCTCATTAAATTTTTAGCTCATGAGGGCACGGAAAGTGTCTTTTATTTTCTGTTTACTCCCAGCGCTTGGCATATTGTAGATGTACTATAAATGTTTGTTAAATCGAAAAATAAAGGGGTGTAAATTCAATTTAACCTAAAAAACAATGATGTAATAGACATGACCTTCATGAGTGGTGGACAGAGTCATGGAAACTTTGCTTCAGCTGGCATTTGATGTACAGGCACTTCCCTGTCCCCTGCAGATGATTGGGGGATAGAGCTGTATGAGTGAGAAGATAGATTTTTGATCATGACTCTTCATGAAGAAATCCATTTATCTCTGTTTATTAAACTGGAGGCCAAACATCACATAAATATTGGATGTTTCTTTAGAACAAGTAACATCATGTTTGGGGGGGTGGCAGTTAGTGATGTGTAGGGTTTGGTTCTTTTTTTGCAGAAAACGCTGTCCTGTATCAGAACTACAAAGAAAAGGCCCTTGACATCGACTCCGATGAGGAGTCAGAGCCGAAAGAACAGAAATCCGATGAAAAAATTGTGATTCACCACAAGCCTCTGCGGTCCACATGGAGCCAGCTTTCTGCGGTGAGTGTGTACCTTCTGGTTTTTCTATCTGTGGGCGTGAAGACCAAGTTGTGGAAATTATACCTGGTTGTGGTTTTAATTTTTTCTACCAGTAATCCTGTAACCCTAAGGAGAAAGATTCTTTTCTTTAGATTGTGAAATATTTCTTGAAACTCTGCAGTGAGAAAGTGAACTTTGACAATTCTGGTCAGGAAAATTTATCATGTTTTTATAAAATAAAGTGCTTTAAGACTGATGTACTATGGGCTTTGGAAACTCTTCCTACTCAGTATATTTTCTTGCTTTTTTATAGAGTGCATATGGAGTGGTAGCTTAATATATCTATATTAAGTGATAGCTTAATATCTCTTAATATATCTGAACTGTATCGTAATTATGGCTGTATGCATATGTTTGGGGGTTTCCTTGGTGGCTCAGTGGTAAAGAATGCACCTGCCAATGCAGGAGACTCAGGTTCCATCCCTGATCCAGGAAGATCCCCTGGAGAAGGAAATGGCAATCCACTCCAGTATTTTTGCCTGAAAAATCCCCATGGACAGGGGAACCTGGCAGGTTACAGTCCTTTGGGGTTATAAAGAGTTGGACACAACTTAGCGACTGAATGACAATAATATATATGTATGTATGATATTTGTATGTATGTATAGTACCTCTGTAAAACAGGGAATGTGTTACAGTGCTTCCTTGGAAATTTTGTTTGATAGAGACATATTTATATTTTCTTGAAATTGGTTAATTAATAGCATTCTGTCCTGTCTCCACGTGTGCATCTTTTGTGGACCAGTGTCTGATACTTATTTTTGTATTGATGAGTAAATTCTCCTCTCTGCATCAAACCTCTTTAGTTTTCAGCCATAATTTCTTTTCCTCCTGGCTTAACAATGTCACAGTGTGATACTTAGTTTACGTGATATGAGTTTGGGTACAGCATTTGTAGGTGGGAAAGAGTTCCCTTAACTGGCTTGGGTGGTGGGAATGTTGGATGAAGAATAAGCCAGTGCACCTCTGTGAGTCCTTTAGCAATATGGAAGCAGAAGTGATTCTCTCTGAAGCCGAAATGAGCATAGTTCAGAATCAGGAATCTCATGCACTTAGGGAACCCATCAGCGTAAGTGAAGAAGCACTTGTAAACTTGACCATGGAAATGCGTGTGTGTTGATTATGGAGATGACATCTGGCTCATGTTTTTCCTCCCCTCTCTGCACTGTACTGGAATTCAGAATTCAAGAAACGAAACGTTTTCTTCTGTCTCCCTCCTACCCCCCTAATGTTGTGCGAAGCGGAAGTTATATATTTGCAGCATCACACCACAGTGTGACATCCTTAGTGTTACACCACAGATTAAAATGCCTACGGGGGCGGGGGGTGGGTGGGGGGCAGGCCAAGTAGTGTTATAAGTGATGCTGGTGAGTGTAGGTGATGGGGAGTGGCGGGAACTGTGGTCCATGGGCCTTGTATAAATTGAACAGCTGCCAGTTAGTCCAAACCAGTTCAGAGTTGCAATATTTTCTGATATTTAGAAAAGAGAATACAGAAAGTCAGACTTTTGAGTTTGAGCAAACTCCGGGAGATATTGAAGGACAGGGAAGTCTGGTGTGCTGCAGTCCATGGGGTCCCAAAGAGTCGGACATAACTCAGTGAGTAAACAACAGGAAAATTCCGTTTGCTTGTTTTCTTTAATATTTGTTTATATGGCTGTGCCAGGTCTTAGTTGCGACACACGATCTTCAATCTCTGTTGCAGCATGCAGGATCTTTAGTTGCGGCATGTGGGATCTAGTTCTCGGACCAGGGATCAAACTCTGGCTCCTGCATGCGGAGCGTAGAATCTTAGCCATTGGACCACCAGGGAAGTCCCTTCAAGTATCATCCTAATTTAAGTTTTAAAAAATGTTTCATGAGCCCAACACTATCTCTGGGCCAGTAGTTGCTCAGTCATGTACGACTCTTTGTGACCCCATGGACTGTATGTAGCCCACCAGGCTTCTCTCTCCATGGGATTCTCCAGGCAAGAGTACTGGAGTGAGTTGCCCTGCCCTCTTCCTGGGATCAGACCTGTGTCTCTTATGTCTCCTGCATTGGCAGGCAGATTTTTTACCACTAGTGCCACCTGGGAGACCCCCACACAGGCCAGTTCAGTTCAGTAGCTCAGTCCTGTCTGACTCTTTTCGACCCCATGGACTGTAGCACGCCAGGCTTCCCTGTCTATCACCAACTCTCAGATCTTACTCTGACTCATGTCCATCAAGTTGTTGGTGCCATCCAACCATCTCATCCTCTGTCGTCCCCTTCTCCTCCTGCCTTCAATCTGTCCCAGCATCAGGGTCTTTTCCCGTGAGTGAGTTCTTCACATCAGGTGGTCAAAGTGTTGGAGTTTCAGCTTCAACATCAGTCCTTCCAATGGATATTCAGAATTGATTTCCTTTAGGATGGACTGGTTTGATCTCCTTGCAGTCCAAGGGACTCTCAAGAGACTTCTCCAACACCACAGTTCAGAAGCATCAGTTCTTTGGCGCTCAGCTTTCTTTATAGTCCAGCTCTCGCATCCACACATGACCACTGGAAAGACCAAAGCTCAGACTGGACGGACCTTTGTTGGCGAGGTAGCAGGCCAAGGTGGCTCTGAATGACTGTCGCTCTGTTGTTGGTATAGACCGTTTGGTAGGGGCACTCGAGAAGAACACTGCATTTTTTGAGTTTTCTCTCTAGGGCAGCATCTGTGTTTGTTAGTCCAGGCCTAAATCTTGCTGTTGATCTCTGAATGCTAAACAAAAACATGTATTTCTCTGTCACTTACACACTTCTCCAACTTAGCTTTAGTGCCGAAAGCCAGGCTGCCATATTTATGCTTCCTGGAGTTTGACTTTCATTTAGTTTTTTTTTTTCATCTAGATTAACAAATGCAAATTTAAATAACACTTTGTACCTTTCAAACTTTCAATACTTCAAATATGGGCATGCATTTTGTTTGGCAAAGGATCAATGTACTGTTGTGCCTTTTGTTAACAAAAAGATTGATATTAGAAGACTGTCTGGTGATAAAATGTTGTAAAGTAGATTCTGACTGCAGAACTGTGCTATCTTGGATTTGCATGTTCCCAGGGCTTGTGTGTATTTATTGTGTTGCTTGGCAATTACATTTAACCAAAGCATCATGATTGGACTTTGCCCTTTGCGTCACTTGGGCACCAGCCTGCGTTTTCTTTGGCCCTTCTGTGTCTCTATTTCACTTTTAAACACTTAAAGTTTTTTTTTTTTCTTTTTAATTATAAAGTATTTCAAGCTCAGGGCTTCCCTGGTGGCTCAGTGTAAAAAATCCACCTGCCAGTGCAGGAAATGTGGGTTTGATTCTTGGTCTGGAAGATCCCCTGAAGAAGGAAATGGCAACCCACTCTAGTATTCTTGCCTGGGAAATCCCATGGACAGAGGAGCCTGGCAGTCTATAGTCCCTGGGGTTGCAAAGAGTCAGACACAACTTAGCGACTGAACAACAACAACTTCAAGAATGCAGAAAAGTTATCTGTAAATAATATTTCATCATATATCTCAGAGAAATACAGATTTTTAAAATAAATAATCAAAATTGCTACAACTGAAAATTCAGAAAAAAATTCTTAATACCATCCAATGCCCAGTCAGTATTTACATTTTCTCAATTTTCAAATTTTTTTAAGAGCTATTTAAATCAGAATCTGCATAAGGTCATACATTGTGATTACTTAATCATATTTCTTAAGTCATTTCATCTGTAATGTACCCTCTGAAACCATGTAATTCAAATTGGGCCTTGAACCTACAGTCCAGAACTTGACCCTAGCAAAATCCCAGATCTGGAACTTGAACTCACAGTCTTTTAACTGAGATCATGCCTGGTCTCAGGATTTATTGAAGTTCTCAATGTCCTGTGGCAGAAAGAATTCAGTAAGAGACGGAGTGATAAGTAAGATGTGGATTTATTTAGAGAGAAACACACTCCAGAGACAGAGTGTGGGCCATCTCGAAAGGCAAGAGGGTAAATGTGCAGATAAACTAACATGTAAGTTTGTGTAATGGATCTCCAGATACCTGCCACACAGGTGCCAGCTTGAACAGACATTAACATTTTCATATTCAGGCCTCTACTTTTTAAGGCAGATCCTGTTCACCATCCTCCTCTCGGTCCTTTTCTCCTTCCTGCCTCCCCAGGTGTCATCACTGTCCTGGAAGGTGTCTATTCTGTCCTTCCCACGTGGGTTTCCTGTCCACTAAAAAGTGGCAGTCCCCTTCGGCTTCTTTAAAACTGGATACTTTTAACAACAAAAAGCAGCCATTACTTTTAAAATATTCTAGTAGTAAATATCCAGGTTGCAGTTAGGACCCTAAAGAAAAGAGGCTTCGTGAATTATGAAAAATGTCAGGATATTTTCCATAAGCAGTCAGCACCTCCATTATCTCTGTCTGATATTGTGCCTGATTTCTTCCTGTAAAGGGGCTGCAGTGTTTAAGGCAGGTTTTGGAGCACTTCGACTTTTTGTATTTTTTTGCATCATCTTTCCATGCTTAATTTTAATTTTTATTTTTTCATGCATACTTTTTAGTAATACCAAATAAGTAAGGTTGTCCCTATCTAGTCTTTAACACAAAACTCTTCTCTGAGTGAGGCCTTGATTCCAGAAAGGGAGTAGAATAAAGGGTTTTCTGGCAAGGGGGTTAGATCTCTATTTGGATCTACCTTAACTTTCTACTTGGGAGGGGGTGCTTATGAGCACATCTGTGTGCTGCTGTTGATTGTCTGATGCTGTGAAAACCTCCTATCTCTATTGCCAACTCCTGACTGCCTCCTAAGATGATGAAACTTTTCTTATCAGATAACTGTAAGAAGCATCCAGTGTGTGGGAGACTTTAAAAGAGCAGCAATTTGCAGTCACTTCTGCTTGTTTTGTAAGGTGTTGAAACCTTCAGTCTGGATGGAATTTGTCTTAGTGCATTTGTTTATGATGCGTCTCCTTCAGTTTCGTTGGA